GAAGTAAAATTAACTTTTTATGAGTGTTTAAAATTTTTACAACATTAGATGTTCATTAGAACAATACATGATAATGGATAATAAAATATATCAATAAATTTTGCCAGCATACAATGATAATAAAAATTAATTTCTTTGATAGTATAAATGAACTTTTTCGACATTTTTTTTCGCTATCATAAAGCACGCACTTCCTGCGACTATTCAAAATTTCAAACTTATTATTGAAATTCATAAAAAACTTTTTCACTCGCCCATTCAAAATTATATAAAGTAGATGGAAATAGTTTTTTCATTATTTTTTTATAAAAAATTATGATTTCTTAAATTTTTTTTTACAAATATATTGCATAACTTATAAATGAATATGCGTCAACTAAATTATGAAATATACATAACATTCCTTACAGTAAATTGACGCAAAATGAAAAATACATGGTGTTGTAGTGTTGCCAGATTATTTCGACAATAAAAATTAATTGTTACATTTTTTAAAGATGAAGTAAATGAATATTTTCATCCATAATTTAAGTATAAAATAATAAGCATATATTATATTTAATAATGTGTATTATGACGTGATATAATTAAAAAAAAATAATAACGGAGTTACATATTCCGTTTACCCAATTTGAGCACTGATATTTGGTAATTTATATTTTTTATATTTTTTCTTTCATAAATAATTTATTAATATTATTAACATTTTCAATTTGTTAGAGCATTAGATATAGGCGCACAATATCATAATATTATGTCAATATACTCAATATAGTATTGAGTATATTTAAAAAAAAAATATTAAGGACTTTAAATGATTAAAAGATGAATCAATTACAAATTTAGCTTCATCAGGAATCTTAACTTCTATATTTAAATTTAATCTCAATCACTTATATCTATATTTGTTGGACTTTATTTATAGGTAAGTATATTCAGAGACTGCGCTCACTCTGTTAGTTTTCGATAAATTCAAAAACGTTTGCTTTCATTTTTGAGTGGTTTTTTTCATTAGGCGATTATAGAATCTAAAGGGGCATATTATTATGACTGTCCAACCTAGCAGTTAAATATAAATATACACTTGTGGCTCTATCTGTTCAGTTTTTCTCTTAAGAAATAAAAAGAATTTTTTTTTTTTTATAATAACAATCAATTCACCATGGGACACAGTCATGAACGACGTTTTCTGCTCACGAATATCGAGTATTGTCGTATCATTCACATGAGTGAATACGCGTTAATACTTGAAACGCTTTATTCTTGTACGCTCTAAGGCAATGACCATACTCGAAATTTAATTCAACCGGAACTGTCACTTTATAATGAGATACCATAGTACTCGTTTATTATTTAACGAACGTTCCTTTAGAACTCGTGACAATATGATATTATATTCATACTCGGGCACTGTGAAGTCTTAGGACTTTTCGACCATAACATTACGATATGTTTATCTCGGCGCTGTAAGAACTTATATCGGTAAGGACATCGAACAATATTAACATTATTAACAACAGTGCAACTCAAAATATAGCTGCCAGAGAAACTTTTACTGGGAAATAAACGTAAAACTCACAAAATATAATATACGAATTGATTAGCAAATCACGCATACTGTCTATTTCAACGTATTTGCCGTCTATCAGACAACGACCGCGGTTTCCCTGTGCGTGCCTGCGTTTGCGGCGGTCTGAAATGGTAAATATGTTGCCACTTCAGTAGATTTTGCTTCGTCGGTTCGATCTATTTTAATTAATTACTAATCTAAAATACATTTCTAGATAAATTTTATAAAATAATATTCACGACTGTATTCATAATATTATACGACAGTGTTAAAGACGAGTTATGTGCCCAAGAATTTTCAATGGGAGGGGTTGTTATCTTATAAGTAATCATACAATTCAGTGGATTGCGGGGGCAGAATTCAAGACGAAATTAGCACCCCAGTGAATCAAAAGTTTTGCCATCTTGTTATTATTAACGCACTGTTTGAATGGTTCAAAACAATGAGGTGCGAATATTGTGAATTGTTCTTCATCACGTCTCCCACTCACGCAAAATCACAGAAATGAGTTAAGCAGAAATAAGATTGATTTCTCGTATACATCATTAAGACGCACCTATTGAAGTATATTACTTTCCAAGGTTTCAATCTGCGTATAGCCCATATGCGTCTTACTTCCGAATCGACGTTTCGGTCAAAGAATGTAAATTCATTTTGAGATATTACCAGTTACATGTACCATGAACATATTTTCATTGTTTTAACGGTAAGATGGCATTGATTGAAAAGTTAACAACATTAATATAATGTGGAATTTAAATATATTATTAAAATAATAAAAATTAATTAATAATTTATATAAATGCAATGTTTTAGTGAAAATTTTAATTAACGTACCGCTGTACTAATAGTGATATTAATTACTTCAATAGCAATGTCGAAAAAACATATCATGATGTAATATATTTAATGATGTAAGCTGACAGACCGTCTTGATGAGAATCGTTTTTCATATAGGTAAAATTTGACGTGTCATTGAATTCAAATTAAACACATCCATTAACAGCTGAATATTCTTTAAGACAATATAATAAAATACTGCTGCCACATTTAATTAAATGTATTTTAATAATTGTATTTTAATTAAATACATTGCTATAGAATATTATAACCATCGCATTTAAATAAATTGTTTTACCTTATATATTTACTATCGATTGAATAGACTAGTGTTGAATAAATTATAAATTTTTATATATAAAAACACAAAATATTTAAATAAAAATCGGGTTCTAAGTCAGAATTTGCTCAATTATACCCGTCGTCATCTCGTAGAGTCTGCTGAGTTCACCACAATAATAGCAACATAATTTTCTAACGAAGTTGAGTAGTCACTCAATAAATTATATTTATTAATATTATTATAATGATTGAATATTAATAGGTAATAAAATAAATGCAATGCTTTTTTGCAAAAGTTAAATCACCCTATCGTAATACTTATATAGGTAGTAAAATAAGTATCGTATTATTCTTATTGTAACATAAATAATATATTATAAAATATCTTTAGAAATATTTGCTAACAGATGGTTATCTCTACTCAGAATTGTTTTTCATATACAATGATAAATCATTTAATTTTAATTTAATCCATCCATTATAGTGACTCACTTGACTTCGACATCTACGGTAGAGCTCTAAATTCTCAAAAACAACCAATTAACAAAAAAATAAAATAAAATAAAATCTATTCAGAGAGGCCATCATTATATTATGTTTGCACTTTTCAGATAATTGTGATTATAAATTTCACGTTTCATTTAAATTGGTTAGATAAGAAGATAGGTTTAATAAATTGTCGTTGGAATAGCGGCCATAGAACTCCACCCTGCCTTAATTATAGTATAATTCTTAGTAATTTACAAGTTTAAATGAAGTCCTTTTAGGTCATTAATGTAATTTTGTAAAATTATTTTATAGAAAAACTATATTTTTAATTTTAATTATTTTGTATTTTTTTTAAACATCTACTCTACCTTAACCAAAAAAAAGCTGAATGTAATTCAAATAGTAATTTAAAATTTTAATTTTTAATTTACTATAAATGTCTACATTTTAGGTTTTAGTAATAACATACCTCAAATTTCAGTCAGATGTTTTATTGGAAAAAAGTATATAATAGAAATGTATATACTAATAAATAATATTTACTTGGATAATTAATTTTTTTATGATGTATCAAATAACGAATGATAGTATCTGTAAATCGTGTAAATATAGTTTATTTATTAATAATTATGTTGGATATAAATTATAAATATATTAATATAAGTATAAAAAAAATTATTATTTTAATTAAAAAAACATTTTTAGTTTAAGTAGATACTTTAATAAATTATTATCTTTAAAGCATTTTTAAATAAATATTAAAATAAACACTTGTGTAATTTTTAATTTATTGTACTCTCATAAAAAAGTTTTCGAAAACATATACATATAAAGTAAGATGGTATTTATAATTATTCTTTCTATATATAGAGTAATTATTTATTGTTTTTCCGTGTTAGAATATATTATAATAAATAAATAGAATATTGTTAACTTTCAAATAATCAAATTTTTAATTTTTTAAATTTTAAAAATAAAATTTCTTTTAAATTATTAATATTATTCTAACTATAAGTTGTTAAATTTGTATGTACCTACGTTATAAGATAATTCTTCTGCTACATGCTTCCAAATGTTTTGTTATCCACCACATTCAATTCAGATTTAGATTTAAATATTTTACGATTAATTAACTAAATTGTATTAAATTGTATCATTGATTCTATATCCTTCTTCTTCTTAAAAAAAAAAAATACTGCACATAAATTTACCTGAATATAGCCCAGATTAATGACTGAGTCTCATATGAGGAGCTTTTGTTCAAACTGAAAAAGTTTATCCTTTCATTTTATGTTTACTAATTATATTTTTTCTAACCAATCAATCTTTAACAATTCAACTGAATTCTAGTTTTTCTACTATCCAATCAAAGTAGAAATTTGGCAAGGTAGTGATACATACATATGTATATACTATATGTCTATATATAATATATATATGCCCAAAATATCTAAAAAACACCTAATATTTCTCTAGGCATATATACAAACAACATTGATAACATATTTTCTTTAAAATTTCATTTTAGCTAGGTAAATGATTGGTAAATTACTTAATATTATGCATGTTGTAAAGATTATAAATACAAATTTTTCCAAAAAAAAAAACATTTTATCAAAACGTTTGATTATTAAGCTAAAAAAAAAAAAAATGCAGCAATGTGTTTTTTAATAACAAGGAAATAATTAGAGGTATATAAACCAATTTTTTAATAAGGTTACTGTGATACATATACATATGCATGTATATGAAAACAAAACATGTATAATTTGCTTAGTATTTTATTTGGTCTTTATTTTTTCCATGAAGAGAACTTGATTCCTACTTATTTTTAATGAATATAGTAATAATGTAAACACAACAATGCTTTAAATTTTAAAAACAATATTTAATCGAGTAGTTTAGTTCTTAGTTGTATTTACTTTTTATCATACTACACGCTCTTTCAGCGATCATGATACAAGGAGCATGACTGTAGGCACTAGTAATCATTGGCATAACTGATCGACCTATTACTCGTAAATTAGAAATACCAATCACGTTCAGTTCACTATCAACAACAGCATTTTTGTCAGTTTCAATTCCCATACGACACGATCCGGCAGTACTCGATGTTGTAGACATCATGTATTTTAGTAAGCATTCCCAGTGCTCATTGGTCTTTTTATTATGCTTTGCACATCCGTCAAGATCAATATCTTCTAACTTTGCATTTACTAACTTCATCCCATCAGATTTTTCAATTTTGGATAGTATTTGAATGGCTTCAAGGAAACTTTTTACATCATTCTTCTCCGTCAACATATTGCCAACAATAATCGGACTGTCCGATGGGTTCTTACTTCTTAAAAGAATTTTACCGGTACTTTTCGTGTTTATCAGAGCTATTGTAAAAATAGATATAGCACGTTCGTAATTCAATTTAGCATACACCGATAACAATGTATCACTAAATCCAAACATTGATTTTAGTTGACATAATTTTGAATAAGTATTTTTAGGAATGTAATATTGATGAACCTCAATATCAGCGAATGAAGATTCAGACAAACTAGTTCTTATGAATCCACCAAAGCTCATACCGTTTGGTCTACTTAAAAGTCCTGAATGTCTAGACAAATACTTGAACGCGGTTTCTTCTTCTGTTTCATTGCATACTATTGGTTTATCGTAGGACATAACAAAACCAGTAAACACTGGAGTAATTAAGAAATTTTGTCCTACATTTAAATCTTTGACCACTGGGACTTCCATTTCGGACAAATGTTTTTTAGGTCCAATACCTGAAGCCAACAATATCTGAGCAGAACCAACAGCTCCAGCACTAAGTAAGACTTCCATGTTGGTTTTCAGTGTAAGAGTTTGACCGAATTTCGTCTGTACTTCAACTCCGGTCGCCTTCATTGCTGTTTTATCTACTAAAACCTTTGTAACTCTAGAGTATTTCATAACTTTTAAGTTTACACGTCCGAAAACTGGGGTTAAATATGCCTTAGCAGTGTTTATAGACCTGCCATTCTTAGTTATTCCTTGCATTGAAACAAATCCAACTTCAATGTCTTTTTCATTGATATCACTTTCTTTTTTATAACCGATATGTTCAAAACCAGAACATACAACTTTTTCCAAAACGCTCACTTCAGTTTTTCGGAAATTGGTCACCGGGATATGTCCACATTTTCCATAAATAGTAGTGTTTGTTACAGTTTTTGTAACCGAACGGATTTTTTCAACGTTTTTAAAGTAAGTCTCCGTCGTATTGTATGACCAATTCTTCAAACCTTTTTTAACAAGTAAATTATAGACTTTTTCACTTCCTCTAACATACATTTGAGGACTAGTAGTACTACTTCCTCCTAGACATTTTCCTTTATTTAGCTTCATATAACCTGTAATTCCAAATCCAGTTGTATAATCTGGTTGTATTTTGTATTGCCAGTCTGCAACACTGTTTAATGTCCTATCCCATAAATTAGGAATTTGAGTTACAGGGAAGGGGTCTCCACCTGCTTCAATTAATAATATTTTCCATTTGATATTTTCAGATAGTCTATTCGCTAGAACGCATCCCGCATTACCACCACCAACTATGATAAAATCGAACGTTTCATCGTTTATGACATAACGCGTAGAGTCTTGTGGATATATAATATCATCCATAAGTTTAAAACGTTGATAATCTAATTGATTTAAGACTTCTCCTATTATACCAACTGCATTAAGACCACTATCAAATCTGAACTTCTGATATGTATTCAAATATTCATACACTGATACTTCGTCTTCCGATTCTTCTTCTTCTTCTTCACTATCATCATTGTCAACAGATTTATCATTTTTATTATCATTATTCACGATTTTATTATTTTCATAGTTATTTTCATTATCTACAGTTTCTTTAATAATTGATGTTAACTTATCATTTTCGTCACTATTATCGTCTTTGGAAGATTTTGATTCATCTGATTCATCTAATTTATTAATATCACGTCTATAAGAAGTGCTATATTTTTCCATATTTTTCGACTCAGCTGTTTTACTTAAGTTATTTGTATTACTGTTTATTTGATTCTTATTATTTGATGTAAATTCATTTTGTTCGGAAATTTTGACATTTCTAGTACCTGTTTTTTGGTTATTTTCTATATCATTAATTATTATATTATTTTTATGATTGACTTCATTGGTATTTTCAATAGTATTTGATGTTTTAAGTTGATCAATTTTACGTTGCAATGAATTAGTTTTTTTTAATCGATACAAATTATCCATATCTTGTCTATCATTATATTGTTGATTATTATTACTCATATCATTATATTCTGATGTGTATTTGCTATACTGTTGTGAATTTTCATTAATACTTTTTAAACCGTTTGACCTTACGGTATCCTGTGAATTATTATTTAAATAATATCCATTTTCATTGTTTTGGACTTGAGACATTTGGCTATTGATAGATCTACTAGTACTGCTACCAGATGTACTGAATTGTCTACCATTTTGATAAGACGAATATGTTTGACTTCCACTTATTAATGTATTACTCAAGAGTCCTAATTGAATAGCTTCTTGTTCAGTTAATAAACTAGTTGTTGTGGTTGACACTGTGTTTGCCACGTATCCTTTTGGTATAGACAAAAATATGTTTCCGTTAACACCCACGGTCCTTGTTCCCCACGTAATTGTTGCACTACTACTTTGCAGATTTTTCTGTAATGATTGTTGAAAGCCGTTATTAATAGATCTTGTCGTAGCAGACTCAATAACTTTGTTCGCAATTAAAGGAATAATTTTTTTTCTTAAGATCTTTTTAGCCGTTTTCTTAAATGTTTTCTTAATTTTTTTTGAAAGAGTACGACTTTGCATAGAGCTTTGTAGTTTTCGTGTTGACTGAATATCTCTGTAATTTAAGTCTTCACAACTTTCATCATTGTATTCGCTGCTGTCTTCTAAAGAGTTTTTTTTAATTTTTTCAAGATCTTTTTCAAGTTCTTCAATTTTATTCTTTGAATTTAAAGCATTGAATTTCGATGAATTTTTAACAGTAGTTGAAAAAGAACTACTAGTTGAGCATGATTTGATAGATACCCTTTTATGTTTTGGTTTGCTCCAGTAACATGTTCCATTACAAAGCCTAAAACAATACATTGAATATTAAATATTTTTATAATTTGTTGTTAAAATAATTTCATAATGTATAGAAAACATATCTATGTAATAAAATTGGATATTTTTAATTATTTAGCTTATTTTAGATTATATTATATCAACAACACATCATATGAAAACTTTATTATAATTATGTTAGATTTTCAACGAAAAACTGTATGTACTGGTTTTACCATGATGTGTTTTTTTTTTGTCTAAAATCGATTTTTGAGTAGTAAAAAAGTTTCAATTTTCTACTTTAAAAAACAGTTACTGATAAAAAAATGAGTACAAGTCGGTACTTTGGAAAGTTAAAATTATAAAAGTATTGGAATATTTACGCAATATAAATTTTCAACAAAATCGATTAAATAAACAAATATTAAAAAAAGAATAAGCTATCATTAAAAATGACTACAAAATCGCTGTTTTATTACCAACAATAAAGTCATATATATTAAAATATATAATCAGTGTAATTCTTATTATAAGCATATTAGTATATCTTTTATTTTTATAATACTTAAGTGCCAATAAATTCACATAAGTTGATTTAATTAGATACGTACGTTGTTTATTGTGTAAATTAGTATCTTTATAATTACACTACCTATCAATATTTTCATTATATTTAGAATTTATTGTTTTTTTTTTTTTTTAATGTTTAATAAGTACATGAAAATTACTATTTATTTAGTATATTTTAACTGTAGAGACAACCGACAAATGGTAACATAATGCAACCTCTGTCTGAAGGAGATTTATTTTTGATCATAGAAATTTATATTGAATTTACATAATCCATGATAAATTTAATATTAAAAAATATTTTATATATGATCGCATATTATGTTTGTTTTATAAACAATACTAGTAGGTACATTATTTTTACGTGTATAATTTTTATATTTTTTTAAAATTATAACTATCTACTTTAGTAATTTACGATTTTATATAGGTATAGTATAGGTATGGTGTTTATTAAATTATAGTATTTAAGTAGATATTAAACGCGCTTAAAATGTATATTATGTATAAATGTATATTATGTATAAATGTATAATAATTATAATTATAGGTAATAGAAGTATAAAATAATATTATTAGCCTTGCAGAAAATGGAGGAAATATCTATAAATTTTATTATTGTCAATTGTATTGTTTTTTGAAATTAATTTAATTTTTTTTAAACGACTCGAGTTAGATTGTGTATTTATTATATAAATTATTAATTAATTTTAGAAATATATTTTTGTTCTGATTTTATCGAAAAAAAATAATTTGAATTGAAAATGGATTAATTTTAAAAACATTTTTTGTTCTTGTAGATTGAGTAGTTTTCTTATCTAAAGTTATAAATAATAAATGTGAAATTTTCATATACTCATTGCTTACAGTATAAATCTATTGTCGCAATCATAATTTTAGTATTAATTATACAACACATTTTTCAACTAAGTATTTTAAAAATATAAATTTTTAGTTTAAAAGTCATCCAATGAAAATAATATTAGTATTTTAAAAATATAATTAACTTACTGAATAGCCAAGCAGATGATAATCAAAGAACGAAACAAATGACCCATTGTCATTTTTGAGAATGACAATACTTAATACTCACAACCGTGGGTTATGCAGGTATTTATAGCACTTTACTGAATTAAATGTAATTATTTTAACAGTTGTCCATACGCACATTTTAACATTTTATGTAAATATGTCCAGTTGGGTGACAATAAAAAAAAAAAAAAAAAAGATTAATGCACATCATTAAACGGACGAAAGTCGAAAGAATGATTAATGTGTTTTATCAGGTTTTTCTAAGTGTTATATGGAAAATAAAAACAGTTGTAGCGAAACAAATCCGTCGCAAGCCATTCCGAATTGTGTATCGATTGATTTGTGAAACGAACGAATAAATAATGAACAGGATTTTCTGCAAATACAAATTAAGTATTGAAGTACCTAAATTAATTAAGCGTCGTATTATTTAATTGTTTTGCACATCAGCAATAAATAAAAAAACAGTCTTACTGTTAACATATTATGTATATATGTATAAGAGTATATGTATTTTAATGTGTTCGCGTGGTGTAGATATAACGTTCGAATAACGCCGTTCTCTTGTCGTTTTTATATTAAAGTTAGTCGATAAAAAATACATGAACGTTAAACATCCCTTAATGGAATTTATTCAATATCATCCTACGCTCTTATTACCTATATAGGTATGGGTTTAGCGTTTAGTGTTTACATACTATCACTTAATAAAAAGTGCCCGGTTTATTTTTCAGAAAATATATTGTCATAAATAACACCATGTGAGTAATTTTTCCCACGGCTAGTGTTTTCATCGATGGAGAAAGAAATATTTTTCGTCGGTCTACAATGGCTAACAATCGAATAAGTACCCATTATAAGACTAAATATATCCGAAGGAAATAAATTTTAGGTGAAAACATTTCATGACTGCGACCCTTACACTGATCTTTTCCTAAAATTACTCGGAAAACTTCAACATAAACTTTCGTAACTTATGTAATGATGTTGTTTCAACGTACTAGATCAAGTATCTATACATAATCTGCAGTTAAATGATGTTAAGCATTTTAACGTGTTAGTACTTAGCTGATATTATATATATATATTACAAATGAATTTATATTATTTTGTATATACGACATATAAATTGTAATTTCTTCAATATATAGTCTACATGCATAATTTATTAAGTTTCATTTTACTTAACTTACAAACTTTGTTATACACATCTTACGCCAAACTTTTTATTATACAAAAATTATTATTTTTTAATTAAAACTATTTAATATCTAGATTTTATTTTTGCACCATAAAATTTTTTAGTGTACTCTATTGAATTATCTATTATTTTCCATTTTGCACACTTTATATTTAATTATAACTTACTTTGATAATTTACAACTTATTAATTACCTTGATAATTAGTTATGCTCGACAAAGTTACTAATTTATTAACATTCTGATGAAAGTACAAAACTATTTTTACAATGATTTTATTAGCACATTAGGTAACAATGTTATAGAATATATAACATAATATAAATAAGCGTGCGCAAAGAAGTCACTCATTAGTATAGCAATTTAAAAAAGTTACTTTTTAATTAAATTAACTACCTCTATCAAAGCTATTCATTAAAAATTAAGTTCCTATTTTCGTAATGATTACATTTTGGTAGTGCAGATTAATAATAAATAATCCATTAAAAGGATTTATTGCTAACTTTTTTTTTTTTTTTTGTGATTATATCGATCTGATCACAGGTCAATATTATACTCATGTTCGTTAAAATTGTTAAATATTGATGTTTATAACTTGATTTGGTGTTTTACTATGGTTATAAGGTTTTATGTTCAGTGTGAAGATTATATAAAGTTTCAAGTTTATGGATCTTGTGAAAATATTGTATTAAATTTATTAACTATTTCAAGATTTACACAATATACCTGTCGTAGTACATAAATAACAAAACACTCATTTCATGTTCTTCTTTCATAGAGTGTAAATAATGATTTTCTCTGTAATTAATTATTATAGGTTAATTTTTACTTATAGATGGGAATCAATACGTACTACGTTTCTAAAACCGATAAAAAAAAAGTTTTAATGAAACTTTGTAACATAAGAATTTCTCGTATAATGTTAACCCTTAATGAATGATGACGGTTAATGTAAATTACGTTGATTATATCGTCTATAGACTATAATACGTGATTGGACTGACATTCGATGTGGCTTAGTTAATATTATTAGTTACACGGCGTTGTGGATACGCAATTAAACGTACACGACAATTATTTTAATATACATTTTAAACACAGGCGTAATGAGGTTGTTAGAATGCATGAACATAATTTGGATAAACTAAGTATTACTTCGGTTAGGTTAAATATTATATATAAATTTCTTGAAATTAAAAATCAAATTACACCTACAAAATGTATTTATTTATTTATTAACACATTGTATATTATTAATTATAATATAAGTAGGTAGGTATATTGAAGTATATTTTATAAATATTTAGTGTTATACCTGAACCGTGTTATGGTCAATTAACTTATCAAACTACATTTACTAAGGAAGTAGAGTATTGGTTATGTATGGCTATGTAGCTATGTCGAAGTCTACAGGATCGTAGGTTGATATAATTAAATGTTCTTATAGTTATTTTATAACTAGTTTATTAATTCTTAGGGCCTTGTCTAAAATTTGGTTTTTAACACAATAAATAAAACACGAATGCTCATTAAAATAACAATACAACGTGAAACTAAAATATTATAAATAAAAATTGAACTTTTATTTGAATGTTTTAATATTTGGCAATTCACAAGCAAATGTTGGAATCAAGATGTCAAACATTAAAATGACCCTTTTAAAACAATATTATTACTTGTACAATCCAATTTTTTATGACGATTTCTCTAAAATTTCTTTAAAATATTTTCTGAAGTCCTTCTATAGTTGCAATATTATTTTCAAGATAAAATATAACATTTATTTTTTTATAATTTAGTATATAGATATAACATCAATTTATAGATTCATTGGATTTCAGCAATATGATTAAACATGTAAAAATAATTATGTGTTATCAAAACTTTGCCCTCATGATCATGTTTAAATAAATAATTTGTTTATTAAGTTTTTATTTACTATATTTAAATACAATAAATACAAATTTAACGTATTTAAAATCGTTTGTTTTCAATTAATGATCATGTTATGTAAAAGAAATATATATTGAGATTGTTGTCTGCAATCGGTGAATGCAAACACGCATCAAAAATGTTGGTGTATGTTAGTATTTCGTATAGACAGCCACACTGCCACAGCCACCGGTGATAATTAATATTCACCATCACTATTTGGTTAATATTGATGTGCCGATAAATGAAAAATGCCAGTATTTAGTAATATTTTTTTATATTTAAATACAAACGGGGCCAATTATTGTTAATTATAAATATATTTTTAATACTTAAATATCATTTGTTACTGTCATGGCATTTTTAGTTGCAACGTTATCCCGCGCTTTTGCAACCACACTTTTTTGATGTACATTTAGTTTTGCGATTACACCTCAGGAAAACTTGTCAATCACTGATCGTGTTTCTTTTGTAATTTGTTGAATATTCGTGTCCGTCTTCCGTAGTCTAAATTCGACATAAGTATCTCGTAAAATGTCATATACCTCATCATTTTTCACGAAACAGATGATTTTAGACTCATTTTGCTCTAATTGGACGATGATTTGGTTGCAAGACATTATCTTTATGATGTCATGCCGTTCAAATAACAACTCTAAGTTTTGTTTTTTTGCCTTAGAACTTTAACACTTCACACACACACACGTATATCGTATTTTTCTTCATTATTTCGTTTTTTATTTATTATTTTTTATTGTATTCACTATAAAATATTTTTTTACATTTTTCATTTAACTGTTATTTTTTATAGAGTTAACTATATCATGTTTTATGGACATTTTATGAATTATACACGTTGAAAAACATGTCTGTCTTATGGAATAGAAACAATTAGTATATATAATTTATAGATGTTGATTGTTGACATTCATCAAAACATAAGAGTCAATGATAACATTGACCAGTCATTGTCAAAATTTTGCAGTGAATGTCTGTATATTGTTATATTTTGAAGAAATGCAAACATTTACCGAAAATGCCATTGAATGTCGACATTTACCAATTGTTATCATTTACTTCAATATATATAAAATTCAATACCGCAAAGTAAGTATATTCAATGCGAACACTGTAGTTTTTATTAGAGTTTATTTTTTGTGTAGTTAGGTTTATATGTTAAAGATTATTGCTTACAAATTATAATATTTACTACATTAATTGACGGGTAATAAATTAAGAAAATATGCTTATTTTTGTTTTTACTCATCGTTTATAGAATTAAACGTTTGTTTTAAATAATTTTTAGTACCTAGTCTAGTGTTAATTTCATATAAAATATGTACTTAAAATTATTTATTGTGCCTCGATAACAGTAATTTTATATTTTTGAAATATTTTTATGTATAATGGAAACTTGCTACACATTATATTAGTTATAACTTATAACTGTTATAAAGATAGTCAACAATAAACCAATCATAGTTTTCTCTATCTAAATCGCACGTAATGTAAATATAAAATTATGAACCATTTCTAAAAATTATTTATTTTCACTAAAATAATATTATGCTTGTATACATTTTATTGTAGCTAAGTACTACCTACTCTCCCTACTTAAGAATAAATATCATTAATTACATTAACACGAATTAGGAGAAAGTCAGAATGAAGTTGTGCCTAGATGTGTTGACTTAATTTTACTAACATATAACTTAGCAATTGTTAAGTTCAAAAGAATTAACTTTATCAGTTTTTTTATTTCAAAGTGAATTGGTCTAAGTAAGTTTAATTCAATTTGAAAGTAATAATATATGCTTAGAGCTTCAAATTAGCATTTTTTGATATTTTTATTTTATAGCATGCCATAAGCAATTTGTAAATATTAAAAATAAATAGACTTTTTTCTTTTTTTGACACATATAATATTAATTGTTAATCCTCAATACATAAACGCTGCTCAGTTATTGAGCAACATTCAATAATTGACATTATCACTTATCAGTAACTAATAAACGATAATCATAATTTATCTTTTGTACTCTGGGTTAAAAGGAATTGATATTCACTTTGATTTGAGTGTTATTTTTTATACTAGGTTATTGATAAATATTAATTAGAATTATAAAAAAAAATTAGGTGATATAATTATTTAGTTTCTTATTTTCAAGGGATAAATCTGGTTCAAAAAAATTAATTTTTTCGGTAGCTCGGTATGTCAGTACGTGCTTGAACATTAGTTTAAAGCGTATAGATTGATCTTTTGATTATTATTTTATTTTTATTGGACATATTACTTTAATAATATGGTAATTTATACACTGTTCATATGTATATTTTCATAATAATTTCGTATTACAAGAAATATGTGTAAAAAAAAAAATTTTAAAACTAAAATAAATGATAAGTCAACCTAGTTATGTAGTGTTTTTCAGCCAATCTTGAACAATTTACATGTTGACATGTATTGAATATAGTAAGTACAGAATTTAAGAGCAATTTATTTATAAAAAAATAATTCACCTGCATTATGTATTTATGTTTGTATGAATATTAAAATAATAACAAATAAATCTATGGAAAAAATATTAACACGAATTACATCATAAATATATCGAATAGGTATGTAGAACATAATATGTAATGAAGCGTGTACTCAGCCTAATTTTATAACACATATCATCGATTCAACTATTTATTATAAAAATTTTAAGTGATTTTTATTTTTTAAGCTTGTTTTTATGATATATTGTTAGAAGAAATAGGTTATTGTAAAAGTAAAAAATGATTACTTATTATTCATCAAATAAAATTTAAGTATTGTATTATGTATCTACTAGCATACAATTTTTACAATAAGATAAATATTGTTTAAAGAATTGGGTAGAAGAAAGTTCAAGATTTTTATAGATAATTTAGATACTTATGTTCTAAATTAATTATATAAATAAATATTGAGGTAATATAAGAGTTATGTTTTTTCTTTGTTTATATTAAGCATATTAAATTATTTGAAATTTAAAAATACGCGTTTCTTATAGAATGATTTAATAGTCAAACCTTAATATGTTACTGTTTAAGTAACATTTATATAATAATTAAAATGTTATAAAAAAATAAAATAACTTATTTATTTATGTACCCTGTAACAACGGGTATAATCAAAAATTATAGTTAACATTATACCTCAGTTTGTAGCTTAATACAAAAATGAATAGTTATATTGTTTGGAATGAAAAACATAATTTGTATTTATGATGATGCTTGTAAGTCAATAATATAGAAGTGTTCATAAGTTTGATAAATTATATTAAATAAATAATTTATAAATTATACAATCATTAATATAATAATAATAATTTATAAATGTCTCAAGACGTAATAAAATTTAATTGGTCATTATTTTATATTTTATAAAATGCATATCACAATAATATGCTCATTATAAAAACAATACAATCAAATTTTAATATTCCCAAAGAAGAATATGAAGCTAAAAGTTTGATGTTTGTCGACAACTATTTTATTAAAGAGACCAGATTTTTATTTAATTAAAACTGTAACAAAAATGCTTATAACATCTTGAGTAACCCTTAACTTGTGGCCCCGTCGGCACTTGCAAAGAATAAACAAATGTTAAGTCCTCTTCCACTGATTATCAGTTATCTCAATAAAATATTACGAAATTTATTTTTATTTTACTATTATTAGATTTTCTCCAACGAGTGTCAAGTTAAATTATACTTCTTAAGTTCAGCTATAATATGACAGTTCTGGAAATCTTTTATACTCCGTAAGGTCACAAGGACTAGGACCTGTTATAACAAATTATATCGATAGTCACCCTAAAATAAATTTGATTTATTTATTATTTAGTTTACGCATACCTATATTTATAGTACAATTAAAATTATTATAAACGCACTAATTTTTATCACGCTTTTAATTGGAACATATTTTATGTAAGGTACCGATTTAAAAAAAAAAAAAAAAAACTTGTGAGTTTCAAAATAATGATGTTCGAATAACAATGGAATAATGATGGTTGCAATTTTTTTCTTTAATTTGATATTTGATCTTACATTTACAACATCTATATCTACCTCATATCAAAATATCAAATAATATAATATTATTAAACTAATAATACAGCAAAGACTGGATCTCAAAAATTATTATCACGAAAACTAATATAAAAAATATATTATATTATATTATATTATTATAATAGGTTTACAAGTACGTGTTTATTGTTATAATGTGAATTAAGATGGAAATGGTTTTTGGATATTATCTATTATTTAAATAATAAATGTTTTTGTAAATGGACTACACGTCCATATAATATTGGCATGCATGAAGTTTTTATTTAATATATTTTTTTAAATAATTACAATTTAATACATTTTAATGAATATTAATAACCGTTAATAATAAACCTTTCAGTAAGAAGCAAAAGAATGTGCACTATATTTCAAAATTAATATTTTTAGTTTTATTCGATAAAAGTATAAGTAAAATTACGCTTTTACTGCAGTTTTTATAGGTAAGTATATTAAATACGATCTTTTAATATTGATCTCAATAATATATAAGTAGGCACCTACTAAAGTATAGTACTTAAATCAAGTTTGCATATCATGATAAAACACATTATTAATGGTAGTTATTAATTATAACCGTTACTGATTCGTTAGCTCATGAAATGTTAATAAATTATTTTAAACAAGTAATAATAGGTACATTATTAAATAATAATTATACAGTGAAACCTCAGTAGTTATCAGTATCTCGAAGTTTCTGTATGTCGAATTTTTTTCAGTCCCGATCATTCAGTATTGGACTTTCGTATTAAGTTATTTCGGTATATCAAATTTCCATATGTCGAATATTAATACATAATATGTATGCAATGTATAAATACATTTTATATTATTAATACACATTTTTCCCAATAATTAAATATTTTTATTTCAAATTTTATTTATGTTTTAAACTCCCTCGCTAACTCGAAGTTTCGATATGTCGAATTTGTTTTTGGTCCCTTACGGCTTCGAGATACCGAGGTTTCACTGTACTATCATAGAATCTACAAACAATACAAATTTAAAGATATTCTTAAAATCACTTGTTTTCATAAAGAAAAAAAATATGAATTAATAGTTTTTCAAGAACATTACTCTAAAAATATTAATATATTACGTATAAATATACTTTGGTGGTATTTAGAATACACTATCCCATCGTGGTTTAACTAATCGTTATTCGTGTGTACACGAACGGATTGTTATAGTTGGAATGTTAGTTGCGTGAATATTGCACCGATTTCGTAAATAGGTTTATAAAATAATATCATAATAATTTGTCGTATTCAGAAATTCAAAACAATTCGTCGGAAAACGATTGGAATTTCCTGACCATATTATAAACATTGCAATAATGTACAAATTAAAAACCATTAACACTTTAGTGACGGTTAGTTGTATTTTTATTATAAATATTATTCTCCGCAGGGCGCGCGGTGTTCTAGTCGCGTTGTATTGGCAAGTAAAAGCGTATCCTCATTTCATTCTTGAATCTTGAATTCATTCAAATTCTGATTTTCGGCATTTTGCAGGGTTGATACTATGTTTTCAAACGAATAGATTTTTACAGTATATTTAACCAATGTATATTGTGGTGACTGGTGTTCCTGCAGGTGGTACAGACTTCAATAATTTTTTTTTTTTTCGAACGGACAGTTCTATCGTTTTGAACTTTTTGCTCTGCAGCTTGCTTACTCACGCGTGTGATAAAAAATAAAAAATAAAAAAAAACACTAATTCTGTCTCCCTCCCCTCCCAACCGGAAATCGTGACGGACCTCCGAGTTCCGCTCACGGGGTCGGACCGCCGTCACCGAATTGGCCCGACTTCGGCTGCACATCAGCGGCGGCGATCACCTGCAGCTCTCGCTTGCCCTTACCGTCAATCCCCCCCCCACCCATACACACACACGCACGCACGCACAGAACTGTACAGGATTTACGAGCGCCCCAGAGGAGTATCTGCATTCAGCAGCCCACCGTTGCCGTCGTCGTTGCGATGGAATTATATATTATTTTATTATTATCATTATTACAGTTGACCGCCACCGGATGTTCGAGTCGCCTCCCCCAACCCAACCGTTATCTAGACACACACACACACACACACACACACACAAACACGCGTACGCGCGCGCACACACATTTACACACAAGCACACACACACACACAGACAGACACAAACACACCTTCCACCGGCGGCGGCGCGCACCGAGAGAGACGATGCGCAGCGACGGCGGCGGCGGCGATTGTTAGTGTTCGCGCGCCGTAGCGGGTTTTATTCGGTCCGCGACGTTTAGTAGTCGTAGTCACGTGCCCCGTGTGTACCGCTGCCGCCCGCAGTCCGACGACGGTGTCGCAACGATATCGTTGTTATTATTATTATTATTATTATTATTATTATATTTTCACGGAACTTGCGCGAGAGGCACTTGGTCGCCACTCGGCTGCGGATACTTATAACCGGTACAACAGACTTTTGAGTTGATTGGAAAATAAAAAAAAAAAATTAAAAAAAAAATTAAATTAATCCGTTAGACTCTTTCTCGGCCCCGCTGGTCGGTGGCGCGCGCGCCCGCGCTACAGTCGCCCGTCAACCCGACGACGACGACTTTCGAGCCGGATCTGCTACCGTAAGTGTAGTCTACACGTCCGTCAAAACGGAAGCGACGACACCGCCAGTTATGGAGTCACGTCTGCAGCGGTCGACGTCCCGGTATCACGGTTGCCGTCGCGCCGCCGTCGGCGCTTTCCCGACGACGTCCGCGCTCGTCGCCGTCTTCTTTTCTCTGGTCGTCTTGCAGATCGTGTCCAACACAGGTAACGTATGCGTCGTCGACATCGCGTCCCGGCGACATCAATTATTAACATTTATAAAATTTACCTGTACGACTCTATTTTTTTTGTCATTTTTTAATTTTAATTCCGTGTACGTTTGTACGATGTTATACGGAAGATACATAAACTGTAGCATATTTGTTATAAAACGCTCGGGAAATGTAGAAACTAATACGGCGAACGCGGGCAACGGGCACTCGATGCAATGGTCCTGCGTTCGTACGACAGTGTCATATCGTGTGAAATTAAATAGATACTATTGCAGTGTTGAAGTTGTCGGTGATGTAATTAAAGGGAAACGGTGCCAAAACCCCGGAGCCCCGAGGGTCGACATTTTAAGAACAACAAATTTTGATGATGCCTAATATAACCGCATATATCACGTTTATGGTGTCAGATAACCTTCATTTATAAAAGTGAAATAGTAAATGCAAATTAGGATGAAAAATAATATTATGTGCATTTATTTACTTATTAGAGTATTGTCAGTTTCTAAATTATTATTTTTTATTCATAAAAATAAATGTTAGACGTTTTTCATTTTTTATTTACTGCGGAATGGAAAAAGACTAGTAGTATTTTCAAAGTATGCCAATGGAACTTCCATGGACTATAATATTATTACGGAGTGTTTTGTATAGGTTCATCATATATAATAATGCATATTTAAATTTTATAACGTTAATTTTATATAATATTACATATTAAATAGTTAAATGACAAATACATGTCATATATTTTACAAACAAGAGGTTTGTACACATCAATTATATTTATTGAATATATCATATAATTAATATCAATTGCCGAGTATAATTTAATTAGGTACTGGCTCAACTTAATCGGTAAAAACATTTTGTTACTAAACCATATTTTTTATTGTCTTAATAAATGATACATAGAATACTTGTGTTATTATTTGACGAAATTTTGTTACTAAATTTAGGATTTTTTAAAAATATTTATTAGATAATAACAGAAATTATTCTGTTACAAACAGTTACATAGTACATTTGAATTTTCTGAAACGTCCTATTAAAAATCAAAGTTTAAAAACTAGATCTAGTTCATAAGTATTGGAGACTTAGGTATGAGACTTAATCAAACAAATAAACAACTTATAAAGAGCAGCTACATACAAATGTGGTTTATATTTATAAATATCTTTCTAAATATTTTCAAGGTTTAGGTTAGGATTAAATTTTAAACTAACTCACTTTAATTTAAATATTGAGTTTCTAGAAAAGGTAATTTTTTTACATCCTACAATGACATATATAAGGTACTGGGAAATTATTCTATTTTAAATGTATACACTTGTAATTGTTAATTAAAATTGGCTGCAGTTGCCGGGCATTTTATAAAAAAAACCATCAAGATTTTATACCTTAACCGTAACATATTGTATACACACAATTGAGCAGTAAATGACGATTTGTAAAAATATAACTCAGTTTGTATTTATTCGAATTAGATCGTGTAGAAAATAAGTACAATCTTAGCTATAACTAGTAATCGAGTAGAATTTTAATTCTGCTATGTGTCGTGCTTTTCCTACCCCCGGTATAAACTGTACTTAGTGGGGGTAGATGCAAGTCTAACACTTTTACTAATAAACTAAATTAACGAAAATTTGATTGCACGCCTAAATTATAATATAATTTTATTGTAATAAAATAGTGATTGCCTTATAGATAGTTTTGGAACAGTGACAAGCGTGGTTAATAGGATAATACCCATACAGTGATTGATGATAATTCAGTTGAAAGAAACGTACATTTTTTTTATCATAGATAGGAGGCGGCACATATTTGAAATGAATTCATATTTGAATTCATGATTAAATTTACGTAGTTATTAAATCATAATAATAAAAAACTAGTATCACATCAACATAAATATAGTTATAATATTTAGAGAAACCTCATTACTTAGTATTAGTAGATGCCTAATACCTAGTTATGTGTGTAAAATAAAATACCGACAATTGAGATATTTAATATATACATAGTTCAAAGTGATATGGAATAACCACAGATTCCAATTTTAATGTACCATGATTAATCATGAAATAATACATACGAAAAATGTCTTAATTTTTTTTTCAAATTTTATGGATGAGTTAATCTTTAAATTATTTTAATTTAAAAAGACTATAGATTTTTTTAAGGTAGGTGGATATATAATAAACACTGTAAGTACTTATATGTTTCTGTTTATAATTTTATGTAGTATAGTTCTTAAAATTCTTATACTTATGTCTATATTTTATATTTAAATAAATACAATTTCATCATTAGTGTACTCTCAGTTATTAATTCAATTTTTACTTTTCAATTTGTTTAATCAAGACTAAATAAAAAAATTTAAAAGCTATAGAAGGGGGCTAAGTGGGCTGAATACTACAATTCCTATACATTAGGAAGACCCTTGGGATTCTATTTTATCAAGGCTATAAAATTATTTAAATGTTCTATTTAGCAAGTATTAATATACAACGTGTAAATATTTAAATATAGTAGTTACATTAAAGTACGAAGCGCTTTCACTGATGCATTGCTCTTGCTGAAAATGGTTTTAAACATTTAAAATCACAAAATAATTTAGTTTTTTAATTATTAAGTTTGTGGATTTTTGATTGTAATTCACAAAAAAAAATATATATATATATATATTAGTATTTATATTTATATTTTAAAATTTTAAATGCGTACGATATATGTATACGAGTAGTGATGACATTAGTGTACCCTACATATAAAGATAAATTAAATTATAGCCATTTACAACTCCAATAGATGTATATCGTTATCTACTGTTTGATTTATTAATCGTTTGATACTCGCCAATTATAATAAATTTAATATAACTTGAATACAGAGAGTAAATATTTATTTCACAAGTGTTGAACAGCGCTGTATATAAATATACGAAATAGATAAAATGAAACACACACAATTTAATTTTTGGCAAGACGCAAACTAAGTTGGTGGTTATATGCCAATGAAAACTATCTCATGAAAATATAAGTTTTAATTATTAAATACTTTTGTTTAAGATAACTTGAAAAACTTTTTTCAAACGTTTTGTCTTGTAATGGTTTCATTTTTAAATTCTTTACATCAATGAACATTTTAACGGCGAGAAAAAATAATAACAACATTAAAAAAAAAATAAATAAAGTTACGTATAAACTATAGTTATAGATATATAGATAATTAATTAAGGTATAACCATAATTTATATATACCTTAATCACGAGTCGTTAAAATAAATTCAAAATCAAAGATGTTTTTATAAGCCTAATGCAATCATATAATTTGTTTCATATTGTTCAAAATTGAAAATGTTCACAATTTAATGTAGATAATTTGACAATTTTCTGAAAAGGTTTTCTTCTTCAAAATAAATGTGTATGCATATAAATATGAGTGCATTAATTCCATGTTTATTTGCTCTAATAAATATGATAAAAAAATTATTATTTTTGATAAAATAATTACTATTTTAATTAAAAAATAAAAGTAAAATTATTTAATATTAAATTACTTTCTTTAAAACAGAGTTTTTTTTTATAATTTGTGATTTATTTATGTATGGAGTTAATTTGTAGTTGTAGAAACTAATGGTTAAATATTAAGTTTACCAAACAAAAAAAAAAAAAAAAAAAACCAGCAAAATTGAATATATTCATATGAATTTATTCGAATTAAAAATAAATTATGTATTTTCAATAATATAATACTCGTTAAAAATGCATTTAGATGTAATATTAGCAAAAAATCATTGCTAATCCATATTTTTCTTTTTATACTCATATATTTAATTATATTTTGTTATTGTTATTTAGAAAAAAAACATATTTTAAATAAAAATCAAATAATATAAACTTAAATTTATTAATTATTCTAATTTTATACCTAGGAATTTATTAAAGTATTTAAATTTTCAATTATTTAAATTTTTACTTAACTCAATACAATTTATTATAATGTTGTTACAATTGATTTACATTAATTTAAATTTATCTGCCAAGTTATGAATTATTTTATAATGATAATTTCATTTTCATAATTTTCTTAATGTATTTTTAGTAAACATTCACTACAATGTGTTAAAAGCGAATTAAAACTTTCTTAATCTCTAAATATTGTCAAAACGAATCATTTCTTCGTAATTTATTATTATAGTATAGATTTAAACTAAAAGTTATTTAACTTGCATAAAGTTTTTTTTATGTTCTCTTTATTAATTAACGTTTCAGTGTGGATTTATGTTCAAACTTGTTAGTATAAATTTACATTAACAAAATCATAAATTTATGACAAATGAGTTAATTGAAATTTTTTTTTTTAAATTGCAAAAATACATGACTATGTAGTTATCCGTATTATAACAATATACCATTTATTCGATATATTCTATATAAAGTTACATTATGCAATATTTTTTATTCATTAACCTATATAAATAATAAGTCTTTTAGAATACAAACTAGAAATAATCTATACATTGTAATTTCAATGGTATTGGTATAGTGTAACAAAACTATGAAGAAAATTAAATACGTTTTAACTGTATGTCATCATTTTGATTACCTTTGGTTATCTCATTAAAAAAAAAGAAAATAATGGTTTTTTTTATGTATAGATAGATTTTTTTTTAAACTTATGTAGTAAAGCCATAATATATCAAAATTAAATTAACTAAGTATCGCATAAGAAACGGTATTAAAAATTGTTATGTTGTTAAATTTATCAGTACCTATTCGTTTTATTCAATTACTTTTACCATTCAGAATATTACTTAAATCTTGTGTTGTTCAATACATTTTAAAATTTTATAATAGAATATAATATAGGTGTACAATATATATGCACTATACAAATGCATTCATTTGAAGTAGACCACATATACATTAATAAATTATCCTACGACCCCTGTCTATAACGGATTTTATTGATAATCCAGTTTTGATGATC